TTAGGTTAACCCGGTGAGTCCACGGATCAGTACAAACAACATGCACCTAGTCCTTTCGCGATATATGCGCGGAAACTACAGGCCCACCAAAGTGGTGTTCAAGCGCTTAACTGTCCGTAATTGCTGTTTCTTACCAAAAGCTTGACTGATTGTGGCCATCAGTGAACGGAGGATTAGCTGACAAGCCTACACCTATCAGGTGACTAAGCACTAAAATAGGGAGTATTAGCTATGAGAATGAAGCTTTTAGTTTTCCGTGTGACAAACGTGGACTTAATGAGGGTCATAAGTATCTGCTGACCGTGCTGAGCAGCTCGTTGATGGATCCCTAACGCAGAGAAACGCTGATGTGCTATACTAATCGCTATCAAACCACAAGTTTGTGCACTAAACAGAATCGAGTAAATTGTCTGTTGGGAAAGTAATTCGCTGCTGCGTTCTTCACCATTTTCAGCAAAGCTATTACCAATGCCCAGTTGAGCGATCAGTTGGATAGGTCAGATTTGAGGGGTTGTAAACCTGGACATTCCACACAGTACCTTCATTATACACTTAATAATTGGATGAACTTATGCCACAGCTCGTAAGCCTTTTCGTGAAGAACACACTAGAATTTCAGGATTGGAGATGTGATAGTTTCACCTCCTCCAATAAAATATTAAACGATGGAAAGTTGGATATGCCGTGTGGTAGGATCGCGACACGCAATCTCGGTTCGGACCACGGTTTACTTGGAAGTGAACCTCGGTCATTCCGATCACAAACACCGTATCCGAATTACAGGCGTTTCGGTCAGGCTTTGCCCAAAAAAGACAACCGCTGAACGGTTTCCTCCTGGTTTGGACTCACCGAATGGAGATAGTCTGAGCTGGGGTGAAAATCAGGGCCTAGTGCTTAAAGTCTGGCGCCTTGAGCACTATGCCATTAAAATCCGTAAGCAACGCTTGGCAAAGGGGTAAGGAATTGAAGCTTGGATTTGCACACCCGCCGTGTGGTTGGATTGCGTTACACAATTTCTGTTGAGACGTCTGTTCACTTGGAAGTGGACCTCGGTCCTTACGCTAACAAGGACCGTTTCCGAAATGGTGGCGTTTCAATGTTGTTCCTCCTCCCGAGTTCCCCCCCTCCCAGTTCAGATTGTCGCCACCTGATGCGTCCAAAGCAGGACGAAACATGTCACGGGGTGTCCTTGCAGGGGGAAGCAACACCGAAACGCCTTCAATTAGAGGATCAACTCATGCACTTTAGTCCCCTTCTGGTAAAAACGGTTCAGTCGATTTTCACAGCAGTAGCCTAGAGGATAAGGGAATAACCTGCACACCGATTCCTTCTATCCTAAACCCGTCGAATGTAACAGTAAATATGAGCTAACTATGAGCCAAAGCTAAGTCAGTACGTCATGTTTTAAAAACAGCGGAGTGTAGCTGCCAATGCAACAATGAGTGCTTTACAGCCCAGTGCCCCATTATCAATGTGTTACGCACAGTGTCATTCTTCAATCTAGTCAAACGATGAGAGGTCGGACACGGAAAGTTTGGAGTGGCCAACCTGAAATCCAATTTAGGTTTGGGTTATTGTAAGTAAGAACACAGAAACGCAAAGGATTCAGCTGTCATGTGTACGCACGAACAAGGCACTTGTTCGCTTGATATATATTTGGTTGGCGGCATCCGGGTTCGGATTTACCTGTCACTGTGGCCAGCCACAGGACGCCTGCGCCTACAGCGGGACCATGGGTAGCGTACGCTGCACCACCCACAGCTCCATCTACACACCCCATATCCAGTGAAAAGCCAAAGGAATAAGACCGGGAGGCATGTGGATGGGAGCCACGTTTCATCAATGGAGCCGGCCCACACTCCTTCACAGGCAAACACAAGCACGCTGTATTTGGGGAACCAAGCGCACACAATGCGGTGGCTAGACCGTAGTCCGCTCCACACTGAGTGCATGGAACCACTCTTTGAGCCTAACACGGCCACAAGGACCGTGCACCCCGTCCCCTCCAGCAACGACCAACTGTCTCCCATAGCCAGTATGGACGAGGTAGTGGGTAATAGACAGGTAGGCACCTTGCCAACATGCACATCAAGTGCAGCCACACCGGGAATATCAAGCAACAGCCAATCACTTGTGTGAAAGATAACAAAGAAACTAAATCGAGTAATGCATAAGGAAACGGTGACATAAATATTAAATTAATGAGCATATGAAATATGTTTACAGAAGAATCCGAGATAAGTTCACGAGGTTAGAAAGTATATTTTACGGAAATGCCACAAACACGAAATTGTTATCGAAATTAACTACAATTGGCTTAAGCGACGTGTGCAAGTTTACAGAAGAGAGTACAGGTAGACATTTATATGAGAAAGAAAAGCATTAGTACAAAATTGAAAACCCACCACCTGAAATAATGGGACTTAGCATGCAAGTACGCGGTTAGTAAACCGAATGCAGCGTACCTACAAACGCTGCGCTGGTTCTGTCTACGTTCTCTGCAGGGCCCGTCGTTGCTTCGGTAGTGGTCCCGAGTGGCCTCCCTCATGGCTCACTGAATCTCCGTGGCTCAGGCACTCGCGACCGCATGTGCTACAGCACCATACACTCGATGTCGATGGAGTACAACCCATCGGTGCTTGCTACTTCCGCGTTTGCCGCTTCCGCACTTGCCGCATCTTCTCTGCATGTATGAGGTCTTTCTCCCGCACTTCGGCAACTGCCTTCGTGATCAGATCGCGCCATGTACGCCAATCAACCGCCTTCGATTCACATGACCTGCGATCAAGGTTAGAATGCGAGATGCTCACTTTGATCATGTCTTGGTAACGTAACTTTGGTTTCCCCACATGCCGCTTCCCAATACTCAGCTGACCATATAAGAGTTGTTTCGGTATCCGCGTCGAATCCATACGGCTCACATGACCGAGCCACCTCAGGTTCGCTTGATAACATGGACATTTATTCACACACATGAGTCACGTGCATGACCAGACAGACCGTGGCTCGTGATAACCAATCGTAACAGTCCGCTACCACTAGATTAAGATTATCCAGCTTGATATTGTTCTTCGCTGCGCTTCTCAAGACGTGATCGCCATGGCTGTATAGTTTGCTCAGCGTAGTCTTCATTTGACAATGATTCTGGGGCTATTCTCAGGGGTGCGGGCGATGGGCAATTTACTTGTTACTCTGCAGGACTCACAGGCTGTCGTCGCACTTGGTCCAAGTGAGCTTGAAGTATTCGCTCATTTTTCAATACCACTTCCACTGCACT